GCGAAGACGGCACTGAGAGATGGTGTTGTGGATGTTCGGCTGACTGGTCCTTTGTTGGACACAAGACCAATGTACCGCCATCGATGGTCCTGATGGCGCGGGACTCTGAGTAATGGACGCGGGAGGTGAGGGTAAAAAAAAAAAATTGATAAATTAAAAAGAATAAATTATTCATTCTCCTTTTATTTCTTTCACTATGATTTGGAAGCATAATTTTCTAGCGTAATAATAATTTATTTTCAATATTTCTTTTTTATTTCTCTCTCTTTCTCCGTCTATTTATCTCTCTCTCTCTATCTATCTATCTATCTATATATATATATATATATATATTAACCACATCAATCCTAGTAAATAGTAACTGGTGAATTGTAAAGTTACCAATCAGTTATTTAGACTGGAATCATGAAAGAATGAAGCCTATAGCATTGGAAAATACTTAAATTATCAAATGATGACCACCGCTAAGACATCAATTAATGACCATGACTATTGTTCAAGAATTAAATGTATAAACTCAACCAACAGAAAAAACTGGAAATTGTATCATTTTTGTCTTATAAATAGACTGAAAAGGTTTCAGTCTTAATCGATTTCGAGGTAAGCCATTTTTAGTTTTAGTCCGTAAAAACTACACTCATCAATACAACAGAAATCCTAAAATGATAAAATGCGTCGACACAAATCAGTGGTTATTCCAAATACCATTATATCGAGTATTAAGTAACTCCTGCCATCATCATTGTTAAATTGCTCCTACTGTCGGAATTACTTTATTCCTACTCTCCTTATTACTCCTATACTCCTTATTAAATTATTCCTACTAACATTATTGTTAAAATTCGAATGTAATTAAATTACCGCTACTGGCGGAATCCAGTTATTTCTCCACTCCTTAATAAATTACACCTACACTCCTTATTAAATTATTCCTATTCTCTATATGTATATTTAAACATTCTAATATTTACCATATTATATATATATATATATATATATATATATATATATATATATATATATATATATATATATATATAAGCAAGTGTAAATGGATATAAATCCGACAGAATGAAGAAAAATTCTGAAAAAACAAACAAAAATCCTTAAATGTAGTTAAAATGAATGAAATGTCGACGTCTGACGTTTCGGTTTAATAAACCTTTTTCAAGACAATATTCATTAAAATACAATTCAGTTCAATATGACAAATACGATGGACATAAAAACACAAGTCTTATTCAAAACAGATAACTGAAAATTTTTAAAATGATCAGCCTTCCGTCTAACATGGTCACGCCGTCGTCACATGGGCGACGCTTTCATAACGTATTCCTAAAAGTTTGTGATTATTTTGAAATGAAAAAGAAAATGAAAAGAATTCTATTAGGTTCTAAAATTTTTTATGTGTATGCTTGTCGAGCATCAATCTCGCTAAAAAAGGAGAAATATTAAAGAAACCAGGTCTAGTATTCACCGTGCGTGAGATGGATATTATACCTGCTTCATAAATCCTCCTGAGATTTTTATTATGAAAATATTTTAATACTTCCACGGAATCGAAATCGAAATTATGATCTGCTTTAGTTGTGTGTACAACTAAAGCATTGTTAAAATTACCGAGACGAATATCTCGTTTATGTTCGAAAACACGAGATTTTACGGACCTACATGTTTCACCCACATATTTTAGGTCACAGTTTTTGCATGATATTTGATAGATGCAAGCATCGGATGTAATATGTTGTCTGCTGGTGCTATTTAATAAGCTACGGATAGTCCTAGTAGGTAATATAGTAGTTCTAATTTTTAATGCATTTAGATTATGAGAGATACGTTCGGTCAAATGGTTATTTGGTAAAAAGATGCGAGCAAACGAAATATTATCAGAGGCAGCTGAAATTGTATCTTTCATTGATCTAGTTGTAGTGGCCTTCGAGGTGTCATTTTGCGCTGATGAGTGAATTTTCAACGCTTTATTTTTAGCTCTCTGTAATAATTGTCTCGGATACGAAAGATTTGAAAAGGTATCCTCAATATATGTAAATTCATCATTTAAATATTTTGATGAACAGATGCGAAGAGCCCTCAAATAGAATCCAATAACAATACCCTTCTTAGTGTTAGTATCATGGTGAGAGTAAAAATGTAAATAGTCATTTTTACATGTAGGTTTACGATATACTTTGAATTCTAATTTATTTTTATTTTTAATGAGTAATATGTCTAAAAAAGGTAAGGAATTATTAGATTCAAGTTCATAGGTAAATTCTATAGTAGGTTCTATTCTATTTAATCTATCAGTAATCTCGTTTAAATCATGCTTATGTGGGTAGATAAATAAAATGTCATCGATGTATCGAAAGTAATGTGTATCAGGTGGAATGACATCTTTAAAAGGTCTTTTTTTCGGTTTACATAAGACATTATCAAAGATGACAATTACATTACAATATGTTAAACAATACACGGACAAAACAATAATGATAGTTTGTTTTTGTTTACATGGAAGATTTCAAAGCAACGAGAAACTCGTGCATACAAGACGCTGGAAGCGAAAATCGCACTGCAGCATGACTTTACACATAACCACGCGAGAGTGAAAACGAGAAGTATTAGGTATGGGAAGCCGTTGGTATAAACCAATGGCTTCTGTTACCAATTATAGGCATTTAAGAATATTTGTGAAGATTTCATAGTTTATTTTGTTCAGGTTAGGTTTCAACTGTTTTATGTATATAGCTTCAAGAATTTTCAGTTTTTCATGTTTAAGTATAATTGTGTTTTCAACAAGGATTTTCTGGTATTGTGTATGCGGCCAGGCATGTTGTTTTAAATGCCTAAAAATGTTAGAGTTATCATTCAAATGTAGTGTCAAGCGTCGTGAAAGCGAGTTTGTGGTGTGACCAACATAAATATTATTTAATTCGTTGGAGATACAATCTCCCAAAGGGCACTTGAATTTGTAAACTAAGTTGTTTTTTGTTTTTTTTTTGCAAATCGTTAACCGATGGAGAAGAATCATTGTGAATAATTAAGTTGGATATACTAGATTTAGTGTAATATATGATTAATTTAATTTTTTTTGCTAGAATCTGTTGTAGATATATTAGTATTTACGAATATTTTAGTATATTTTCATTTTGTTTATAATTAGTATGCATTTGATTACGATATAGGAGATTAATATGTTTGAGATTAGTAGAAACAGTATTATGTACTATTTGCTTCGTATTGAGATTTCTAAGAAAGCATCTTATTTGTTCATCAACTATATAGTTTGGAAAGCTATTATTAATAAGTGTTTGTTTTATATTCTTTAGTTCACTGTAAAAAATCTGTTTTGTGGATGAATTAGTTTCTGCACGATGTATTAGATTCTTTATAATTGCTATTTTGTAGTAATATGGGCATTCGATCTTGTAGTTAAGTGTACAAGAATTTATGCTGCTAGGTTTTTTGTATGGCGAAATAGTAAATTTGATATTATTTGTGTTTATCAATATGTCAAGGAAGGGGATTTTATTATTAGTATTGAGTTCATATGTGAATTTAAGGACAGAATTATTTTGGAAACGTTTTTGAAGTTGAAGTATTTCTTTTGTATTTTTAACTAACATAAGGATATCATCAACATATCTTAGATAGATGGAAGTTTTTTTAACATCTGTAAATATCTTATTTTCGAGGTTCGACATGTAGAAATTGCTAAATGTTGGACCCAGTACTGAACCCATGGAGACACCATCACTTTGTATATATATATATGATTATGATGATCGAAGAAAGGGACTTCAGTAGTACAAGCTAATAGTAGTTTCCGTAATATATTAGCATTAATTTTAAGTTGGGGAAAAGATTGAAATTAATCCTAATACATGCATCAATATATATAGATAGATAGATTGATTGATAAATTGATAATATTAGTGGTTAATACACTAATACAGGACAGAGTAAGAATATAATAAAAAGGCTTAAACACTAATAATCCATGGTTATAATTTATTACATTGCAATCGTAATCACGATCCAATTCATCAGACCTACAAATTCAAAAAGCTTTTTGAATTTGTAGGTCTGATGAATTGATCGTAATTACTACGATTCCAATGTAATAAATTATAACCATGGAATATTAGTGTTTAAGCCTTTTTTTTTATATATATATATATATATATATATATATATATATATATATATATATATATATATATTCAACTTTATAACATATAATGTTATAAAATCACTACAAAAGCAATTTTGTTTCGACATTTCTGGTGTTTTATCAAGTGATGATTTTCTTTTTCCTTCAAGAAAAGATACCAGAAATGTCGAAAGAAAATTGCAAATTTTGTAGTGATTTTATAACATTCATATGTTATAAAGTTGAATAAATATTTTTAGCTCTACTCAGTATTGAGCACCCTTTTATGAATAGTGTTTTTGATTATTGGAATTTTATTCCATGTGTACCAATTTAGAACTGGGTTTCTAGTTCCTTCTAAAGTTTCTTCATTCTCTTTTTCTCCCAGTAGCCCCTTGCGTCATAGTGGCATTATCGCCTTACTTGAGGTGAATTGTTTAAAAGTACATAGTAACCAAATGAAGGCTAGAATTGCGAGTTAGTCACTCGAGACAAGAATCATGAATGAATGATGCCCATATCGTTAGAAAAAATTTAAATCGTAAATTGATATGTGCTGAACTCCAAGGAAACATCAATTGATGATGGCTGCAGTTTAATAACTAAAAGTACAACGACTTAATCTTTCTGGCATAGTCAAATGGTTGCCGAGTTCAAGTGATAATCGAAAAGCTCTCATGTGAAAGAATAAAAAAAATTGAATGCAATCCTTCTCATCTAGGGGAAAAAGGGCCTTTTCACAAATAAACGATATGGAAGCAAATGATGTTCGTTCGTCTTTTCACAGCAGGAAGTGAAGGCAATCTTGGAAATTTAAAATAAATCGATTTTATTCCTTTTTCTAAAGTTTATATCAAGAATAAAGAAAGTTATACAAAGTGAGTTTATTGCTGAAGGCTCTTTCATGGCCGAGCAATGATAATAGAATTATAAAAGGATACAGGATAGATAGATAGATAGATAGATAGATAGATAGATAGATAGATAGATACGAACAGGCTGTGATAGATAGATAGATAGATAGATAGATAAATAGATAGATAGATAGATTCCGGATATTAAGGCGTGATGGAGATTGGCTAATTTCACCTAATTTAGATCTGCATCTAACTGAATACCCCAAAGTTATGGAAAGCATATCATAAATTTAATGATGAAATTGAAATAAAACACCATATCAGAATTTTCTTAAGCAGATGATCAAACTGGTTGATAACGTTCACGGTAATTTGTAATCTTTAAGGGAAGATGGGATGTTATATTTTCTGCGTTTGTCATCATTGGCAATATATATATATATATATATATATATATATATATATATAATGCGCCTCCTGGAAATAGACGAATATAAATTTTGAAGGGTTACAACCGCTTCATATTGAAACACCGTTTCTCGTACGATCACCGAAGTTAACCTAACTTCGGTCCTGGTCACTTGACTTGCCTGACTTTTCAACCGCCTGATGAACGTTCTCAAATTTTAAAGCCTTGATAATCCAATGACATCATCGCTTTTGTATATAAACACGTGCAACAAAATAAATCCTACACTGCCTTGAAATGTCTCTGAGGACAAAACGCGTCGGCTAAGAATAGTTTTTCCTCTTGTCTCTCTTTATTCATTTCATTCCATTACAGGCACACTCTACCTGAAAATAACTTACATGCATTTATGCATTTATATATATATATATATATATATATATATATATATATAAAATAAAGAATGTTTCATTAAGACGGATCAAATTCAGCAGTAAATACATCAGTGTCATTGGTGAAAATTTATTTCTCTATTGGATCATGTTATTTAAGTCATGGCAATTATGTATGGGAAAAAACGCCAAAAATGTACACAAGGCTTCGGCGGCACACCTCCACTCGATGGTCAAAATATTTGATGACGTCTCTGCATAGTTGCTCTTCGATCTCACCAATATGCCTTATTATCTCATCCTTCAACTGTTGAATTTTTGTTGGCTTGTTTGCATAGACCTTACTTTTGAGATGACTCCAAAGGAAGAAATCTAAAGGCGTCAAGTCGCACGATCGTGATGGCTAATTGACTTCGTTGTTTCGAGAGATGATGAAACCCGGGAACATCTCACTGCATTTCTGTTTGAACATCCATTTTCGTAATAGGCTTCGATAACTTTAAGACTTTGTTTGATTGCTAATCTGTCCATGGTTGAAATTGCCAAAGGCTTAAGTTGTTAAATGTGAAAAAAAAAGAAAAAAATTAATTCACATTTAAAATCAGTCCAAGTTATTAAACACCTTATATTTATATGTGATAGAAATTTTTGAAGGATTTGAATAATCATTTATCGTAGATCATCGAGTCTAGAAGACTAATTGGGACTCATCGGCGGTGCGCATCCACTAGCGAGAATCAAACTCGGGCCGTTACGATACAACACAAGCGTCATACCACTGGACCAACGGGCCACGGTGACGAAGGAGAAACTGACTAGACACAATATCGCGTCGCTACTCACTAAATTCCGCTGCTGATACTCATCTAAGTATACGTAACACAACGGATTGTACCCGAAGAGCCACGCCTTCTTTACCCAAGCCGCTCACTCCACAATATTAAAAGCTGGATCAAGCAAGGATATACAAATGATGGAAATCAAATCAAGTCATTTTGAGAAAAATGAAAGAGAGTGTGACTAGGACAGAATGATTGTTTTCGGCTATAAAACTTTGCATATCTGTTAAATTTATTTGCCACAATTAATGTTGTTTTAGTAACCTTTACATTATATCAAATATTTACTAATGCAATGTTTCTATTTTGCATATTAGCCAGTGTTTATGTAGTATGGCTGAGCGGTCAGCTTCGCCTGTCATCACAATAAAACGCTTGCATCGTGCATCAACCTCAGTTTTCTATAGATGAAGAATGTCTGATGCGATGTCTTAGGCAAAGTAAATGTTGTCAGCAAAACTGTACAGAACACCGCAGGTGCTACCACCCCGGGTCAGAGTGAACCTGGGAACACCAGCAATTAAGAGTTGGTTCCATGCTCCTTAAAACCTCCTGATCAGAGGCCTTGTTGTCGTTGGACGTAGTTTATCGTCTTACCCAGGATGCGGATACAGTTTATCGTCTTACCCAGGATGCGGATGTAGTTTATCGTCATACCTAGGACGTGTGTGTGTGTGTGCGTGTGTGTGTGTGTGTGTGTGTGTGTATAGAAAATGGAATATCGTAAGTGTTTTCCGTCAGGACAAATTACTCACCAAAAATTAATAGATATATATATTTTGCTAATCCTCTGTACGTTGGCGTGGGTGTAGGGGGTGTATCTCGGACACAACAATTTGTTTGTGTGTCTGTATGTGTGTGTGTGTGTGTGTGTGTGTGTGTGTGTGTGTTTGTAAGCGTTTATCTTGGGCGCGAACATTGTTTACAATATTACGTCAGTATATAATGGCGTTAGATCTTCTCACCTACGTCAGCAATTTCAGTTACGCCCGACAGAAGGCTAAGCGTTTTCTTCTCGATCAACAGTCGCCTGCTTGGCAAGAACAGTCTGTTAAAACGTTTGATATAGCCGAGCATTTTCGGTGCCATTATATCTAATGCGTTAATCACGCAAAGTCACGTGACGCCAAAGATGCGATATACCTACCTTTTGTTTCTGGCTTTCAAGTAATTACTTTTTCCGTTAGCGACAGATTTGATTATTACGCCGGAAGGATACTCTTTCGATTTTATTATGCCGCGTGATGGATTCTTGCGCTAATGGAACTGGCGCTCACAGCCAGTCGATATTTGATAAAAAAAAATTCCGTAAATGAAGGCAGTTGATCCAAATGGATTTAGGTCTTTCTTTAAATGACGACGATGTTTATCTAACTTCCGATTTTTGACGTCCATCCTCTTCAGGGATTAGAATTTCTCTGTGTGTGCGTGCATGCACACATTAATTTGTTATTATCAGCAAAAACGTTTTTCAGGTTCAATAGATATTTCACTAACTTTGGCAGAAACCTAAATTCACGGGATTCCATTGTGAACCAAACGCGTTATCAACCGTCTGCGAGATCGTTTACAAACATTGTTCTACAGTTACATATCAAGGATCTCTAAATATATAGAAGGAGCACCGGACCATATGTGGCAGCAATATTCTAGGCATGGATGAATGATAGATTTATAGATATTTAAGATAGATTCTGGAGAGAAAAATTGTCTTGCACGACACAATTAAGCGACTGTCTTTGCAACTGACCTAGCAATGGATTCAATATAGTCTTTCCACTTCATTTAAGCCGAGAATGTTAGCCAGATGTGATGCAATGAGTCATAATAATTTTCTCTTTCGTTTATCTTATTTCTTTTTTTAAATCGACATCACCCTATGTAAGGAAATAAAGTCACTAAGACAGGGGTTACTTGGTATGGAAGTATTAGGAACAGAAACATTAATAATGAGCGGAAATTGTTATCAGGACGACAGTAGATAACGGCGGTGGGAATGGAACTAAAGCCGAGCCGCCAGATCAGGACCAATAATATTGCTGATTCTTCTTTGGGTTTTATCAGGGAGCTCAAGGTAAATAACAAGGGCACCGGACCACAAGTAGCAGCAATATTCTAAGCATGGACGAACAGTATGAGATACATAGATTGGACTATGATAAGTTTTTAGCCACTCTTAATTTTGGCTTGTGTAATAACGTAATGTCTTTTTTTTCAGACAATACTGTGTTAGTATCAAGCTAATCTAATCTATGAATGATAGTTGACTTATGTTTTGCAATGAAAGTTCGCGGAAGTAAGGAAATTGGTGAATTTCAATGAGGGCAAATAATAGGATAACATCTGTGTGGCAAGTGAAATAGAGAAATTGCTAGGTTTTTCCAGGTTAATCATCAAATGGTTAATAATATTGTCAAGAAATTTAATGAAGAAGGCCATTGTCGTGTGGAACAACGTTTAGGAAGACCAAGCATCGTGTCTGAATGAACAAAAAGGGTGCTGAAGAGGGAAGTCATCAGAAAAAGTCATCAAAGCGTCAAAGATGTCGCCAACAGCATTGAAATGTTGCTATATGCGGTGAGAAAGACTCTAAAAGAGCTAGGCTATCAATGAAGAGTTGCAAGAAAGAAGCCCTTGGTTTCAGAGATTAGCAGGAACAGACAGATGGACTGGGCAAGTGAATTCTAGAGCAAAGTTTATGAATTTTGGCAGTCTGTAATTTGATCAGATTAAAGTAAATTCTGCCGATATTCGAATTCGAGACAGGTTTAAGTTTGGAGAAATACGAGTGAGACTTGGAACACTGAATGTTTGCAGGCGACCGTGAAACATGCAGGGATTAGTGTAATGGTGTGGAGCGCTGTCTGGTTTGGAGGGAAATCTGAGCTCAATCTTGTTGATGAGTGGTTTAATGGTCCAAAATAGTGTCAAATATTAGAGAAAGGACTACACCCACTATTTGAAACCAATCAGATTGACAAGAATGTCTACCTTTTTCAAGAAGATGGAGCGCCATGTCATGCGAGAAAAGTAGCAAAGGCCTGGAAGGAATCGCAAGGAATCAAATCACTGCCATGGGTAGCCTAAAGTCCTGACATGAATCCAATAGAGCACGTTTGGGAGCATCTTGACCGAAGACTTAGAGAGCGTGCAACCGAAATCACTTCAGTGGCAACCCTTAAAGAAACATTGCTAAAGGAGTGGCAAAATATGGATCAGACGTTTGTTGATAATTTGATAAAATCCATGAAAATCGAATCCAAGCACTGATACTATCAAATGGAGTAGCTTCCAGTTCCAAATACTGTTTATTTATGTTGAGTTGGGATTACGTAATTAAATTTTGAAATTGGATGTAGTTTATTTCTCCTAGCTAAAAACATTTCTTAGGACACTGTATGGTCGCTATGGCATACCTAGCGGGCATTACAAACAGTTTGTTGCCTGAAAAGGTGGGACGATCTCACAACATCATAGGTAAGCAAGTTATAATCTCCCAGATAATTTTTATTTAATTGTTAGGATAATCTTTTTGAGTATGGTTGTGAATCATTTGAACCTGAATCAATTGTTTCTATTTTGATCTTCTTTTTACACTGCCATTTTCTTTCAAATCGGTTGTCTGTCCATTTGTGCGGAATTTACTTCTGCTTAACATGATTGACCAATCTATTGACCAATCTAAACATCATCAGCAGAACAATTATCTCCCATTGTGAGAATTAAAATTGTGAGAAGTGAATTTTTAAAAAAATATTAATTAAACAGACAAAATAATCAAATGTACCCATGAAATCTTAAATAAATTTAGGTTCCTTTTGGCAATTTCTTGGTTGAGAAGCTATTATTGTTTTCATTATTTATACTTGGTCTAATGTCTCCATTTTTGTTGCTCTGTCCATGTTTGTGGATATCTCATCTGGTCCTTTTTTATTACGCATATTAGCCTTTTCCCCCTAAAGAAACATTTGACATTCCTTCATTGAGCAAGCAATATTTCTTTTGCTTGAAATTTATAAAATATTTCTCTTAAAACAAATTTTCGGGAAAATATGTTTCTCAAATCCAGTAGGTGTTATTGTGCTTTTCAGTACTGATGGGGGTTTCCTTCCTCCCTTTTTTTTTAAGCATTTCACCCCAAGCAAGGTGAGAGTTCCACTAATATGCAAGGGCCTACAGAGACTGAAAGTAAGAGAAAAGACTGAGTGTAGGGGGGGATTGAGGAAAGGATAAAAAGAAAAATGCGAATCAAGGCATCAGAAGATGCCAATTGACATTACATTTAAATTTTTGAAGATTATAATTATCAGGGAAGTATGTACGTGGAAGGGAGTTCTACTGTCGGGAAGTGTAAGAGAAGAAGCTGTTGGAATAGAAGAGACGGTTACATTTAACTGTTTCAACAGCAAACAGGTGGGACCAAGATGCCAGTCTAGTAGCACGCTTAAATTCATGCAATCAGGGCACCAGTGAAATTAGCTTGTCAGAAGAAGTGCCATGAAAATATTTATAGAAAAGACACAGAGAAACCACATTACGTTGGTGAGAAAGTGACTGGAGTTGAGACCACAAGTCAGGACTGATCACATTGCATATCTGTCTTTGGATTTTGTCGAAAACCTCGAGATGAACAGGGGGGGGGACCAGACCATATATGGCAACAGTATTCAATGCAAGGATGAATAGTAGATTTGTAGATGTGAAGGATGGACTCAGACGAGAAAAACCTTCTGGCGCGACACAGAGAACCAAAGTTTTGCAGAGTGACAATGAATTTCCATTATTTTCTCTTTAAGTTACATGCACTATCCATTGTTTGGTTTCCATCTTGATCTTGAGTTTTTGACATTGCAGTTTTATTTATGGTTGTTCTCTATATTTATAAAGTTGGTTGTGCGGACATTACTTCTGCTTAGAATGATTCTGATCTTCTGGCCAACTTAGTTGTTCCTGCTTAATGATTATTTACACTTAGACGAATGTCTTCATTTTGAATGTTATTAATCACAACGTTTCGGTCATTATGTCCTCCAGCCTCCATCAAGTACCTGTTAAACTGGATAAGTTTTAGGGAATTTCGAACTGAACCTATTGTCCAATCTTTGGGAGGAGATGAAATATCCGTCGACGTCATCAGTAGAAAAATCAACACCCATTGTAAGAATTAAAATCAAAATTGCAGAAAGTGAATTAAAAAAAAAGAAAATATTAATTAAATATGCTGAATTTTCTAGGATGAGTATTTACTTAATTTACACCCAGACTTTTGTCATCACATTTGTCTTTTTTTTATTACCGCTCTGTTATCTTTTGTCCGAAATTTTGGGATGAGCAGCTACCATTATTTAAACTCAGACGATTGTTCTCACCTTCGTTGCTTTGTCCGAATTTCCCGGATGAGAAGCCATTATCATTTACACTATTTTTATTGGTACTATTTGTATTCATCTTTGTTGTCTTTATCACAACATTTCCACCGTTGTGTCTTCCAACCTTTCTCAAGTGTATATCGTTCTGTGTTACTTACAGCGAATTCTGATCAGTATCCTTTATTTTATCTACGGCGACTGTTCTCGTTTTGTTTCCTAATGTCTAGTCTGGACGAACATCGAAATCTATTGTAACAGTTGAGACAATAGAATCGTTCATGACTGATCATGTATGGAGAGGAAGGCTAGTCATCAGCCTCTGTGGAATTAAATGAAAATACTAGACAAGGAAAAACACTGGAAAGTTAGACATCTCAATGTTTCTGGAGGTTATTGAAACATCATTAGTAGGCCTAGCGTAGAAATAAATACAACATAGGAACCGCTAATAAGGAAAGTAACACAACTGACAGGATGTCTTCAATCGTAACAGCAGCAATCAAAACATTGGCGGTAGCAGAGTTCCAAAAATTACAGAGAGCAACCGTAACAGCAGCAGCAGCAACGGTTGCAACCTGATCTGCAGTCAGCTTACGTTTGAGGCTCTATGTTTACTACAACACTTTCTCCTATGGAACAAAGTCCTAGTAATTAAAAGACTTGGTGGCATAGTTGTTGTGAGTCCAATACCGGGGCCGGGTATATGTACTCAGTGGAAACGGGCGAGCAATAACTGAACAGTACTAAATGAAAATAAATAATAGACGATATCCCTAGATTTAAGCAGTGGAACGAGAATAGTCTATGTAGATTAAGTAAAGGGTTCAGTTCAGAATTCACTGTTACATAAGTTATCCAGATTGATATATACTTCAAGAAGCCCGGAAACCATATCAGCAAGGATGGGAACAATAACACGAATATAAATAGTAATAGTAAAATTAGCCATTTCCTTACAAGGAAACATTTCGCCATTCAGCTGACCGTTCAGCCAATGCTGCTTTCGGTCATAATTTATAAAATCTTTCTGTTATCGATCTTTTCAGTATTCAGCGGTTTTTCCTTCCTAACCTTTTATTTGAAGTGGTGTGAAATCCTTGATTATGTCATTATTTTCTCTTCGAGTTACATGTGTTATCCATTTTAGTTGTTGCCGCTGTTGATAGTCTCCATGTGGTTTCCGCTATCTGGTACAGTTTTTTGTTTGTGATTCTGTAGCTTCATGCTTATGCAATGTTCAAAGATAGTATGATCTTTACCAAGACCGTCAGGTTTCACTCTCTCAAAGCACTTTTCAACCACTGACCATAGAAAGCAGTTGCATACAGTATAGATATTTCTGATCGTATTTGGCGCCATATTCACATAAAAGTCTCGATCTGACGAGGCTATTTGAGCACGTGACTCGAGTTTTCGGGTTGGTGTTTTGGATTCGTAGCAATTTCCTTTTTACCTCTGGTACTGTCTGTTCTCTTTTCAATTTCCTTTTCTCCAATATTTTTTGGGTTTTATTAATTTGCATACTGCGAGAGATGATATACAAATCTATAATATAGACGAATAATAGGTAATCATTTGAAAAAATGGAGAAAAAAAGATCCTAAATAATACGTTTCGCTCCAAAATGAAAATAAAAATTTAAGAAATAAAAACAAAAGCAATAGAAAGCATAAAGAAACCGGCTAAGTTATATATCTAAATACAGCCAACTTCTATCTATATATAAAATTCTACGCCTTTAGTCTGTCCGTCCGTCCGTCACGCCCTCTAAAATAGCCATGCATTGACCGATCGAAACCAAACTTGTGGCCTGGGGGGGAGTGCAAACAGTTAAGTGGGTATAAAGTACAGTTCGTTTTACTAGGATGCGTAGCTTAGTACAATAAATTTCCATTAATTGTTTTGGGAAATTTAAAAGTTTATTATTCAACATACAAAAATACTCGAACTATTTTAAAAAAACAATTTAATGATTAAAATAACAAATACTTGTCTAATAAAAATGAAATATTGTTTTTTGTATATCATTTTTTAAGTTATTATATATCCAAGAATCCAGTTTCCAGTTCCGCCCTGATTTTGGGAGAAACTTAAAACAAATCACAAGGCCAAACGCTTCAAAAAGTTGGAATTTGGCTCCAGAGAGAAATATTTACGTATGGCCAGTTGTATGTTGCATGCTGAAGATTAAGAAATCCTAAGAATTTATTCTTAGCTGTTAAAAATGAAAAACGAAATATGAGGATTCCAACATGTATCAATGTTTTACAAAAAAAAATTCTAGTACTTAAAATTACATTTAAATCAAAGCGTTCCTGTACTTGAACATTTTTGATGTAAAATTCTAACCGACGTTTGTTGTATCTCTTGACAGCAGATTGCATATAAGACTGATAATATGGCTGACAGGAATTTATGATTTATAAAAAAAAAAATAATAAGTTGCTGCTTCCTCTGCTTTTCAACCACGTTTCTCATATTTTACATTAAATGACATAACAAGTTTTAATTTGTTAGATTAAACTAACAAAAACTAACCTTAAGTATTCACAGATGTTGACATTTACCAAAGGGGAAAAAAATCAATGAAAAATTCTATATGAACATCTAATAACGCGAGACCAGAGAGAAAATTCTTTCTGCCTCAACAGAAATCACGACCCCACAACAGATTAAACGACATAGACACAAAACAAAGGTTAACTTCAACTGTTAGTAAAACAACATTCTTAATCAAGTGTTCCAAGATTTAAGACACACATTCCTAAAACAGAAACTATGATCTGGAATTGAAATTAATCCAGTGATGGTAATATTAAAGATCTTACTCTGTCATATACTGTATACACACCTATGCAAATATCACATATACACACGTTCCATTTTCTCATTTAATATTCTCCAATTGGAAATGTGAGTTTAAAATTCTTTATAATATGGAAGAAAATTTTTTAAATTGGTAATTTAATTTAAATTGAAATATATTACCCTTTAATAATCATTATTGATGATAAAATATTTAAATTGGAAACATTTTTTATATTTAGGTAGGTGTTAATACATGAAGTTACCTGTGTATATCGGCACATGGGTGCCTGTATGAGTGATTGAACATGTAAAGGAATGTGATATTTGCATGGGTTTGTATACAGTATATGACAGAGCAAGATCTTTAATATTACCTTCAAATATTACCCCAGATTAACTTAACTAAAATTTAAGTAAAAGAGATTACCTATCTAGAAACAGTCACGAGTTAAATTCATGAACAAAATTCAAACGGATAGAGATGTCAACTTAATAATCAATAATAAAATTTTTTAAAGAGATTAAAAAAGATTACTAGAAGTAAACTTATATTTTAAAATAAAATTTTATTCTTTTAATTTACTTTCTATGAATATTTTTTCTAATCGACTATTTCATAGAAAATCCCTAAAATTTAAAAAAAAAAATTTAAATCACTAACAAACATCAAATTAAATTATTTGTAGACAGTTTAGAGACATTCAAATTTATATCAAACATTATAATCTTTATGAACCCCCAAAATAACACTTTCAAAGTAAAACAATATAACAGCGTCTATTTCTAGCCTTTTTTTTTTACAAAGAAAATTAGTGACATCTTCTCTAACTTCCTTCCCTCTTTTTCTCTCTATGGGTTTTTTCTTCTCTACCCCTTCGATATCAATATATAACTTCCGTTAAGTTAACCGTTTAAATGTGTCAATATCTGCTAACTCACTCATGTCTTCTCTACCCCCCCATTTCCTCACTTCGTTAATTTACATATATTTAATACGGCCCGTCAAAATTTGGTAATTTTCTTTTCATTTTTTGTTTGGAAATTAAAGTCTGATGATCCGCAGTCCTTTTAAAAGTGCTGTGGTGAAATAATTTATTACATGGAACCTTAAAAAGTGGTCTGTTTTTTATTTAAATTATTTGCTCTGGACTTACATTGAGCTCTCAGGATTTTATCCTTCTTAGGTTTACCCATACGGATTACCTAGTTTTTTTCATAAACTAAATATATATATATATATATATATATATATATATATATATATATATAGAGAGAGAGAGAGAGAGAGAGAGAGAGAGAGAGAGAGAGAGAGAGAGAGAGAGAGAAAGAGAAAGAGAGAGATGCATACATGCATACTATATATATATACAAAATGACTGAAATAGATAGATAGATAGATAGATAGATAGATAGATAGATATTATTAACAGACTGAGATCGATAGATACCTACATATGAACATACATACGAACAGACTGAGATAGATAGATACGAACAGACTGAGATAGATAGATATGAACAGACTGAGATAGATAGATAGATCGATAGATAGATAGAAAGATATATATATATATATATATATATATATATATATATATATATATATAGATAGATAGAGAGAGAGAGAGAGAGAGAGAGAGAGAGAGAGAGAGAGAGATGAAGAGACCAAGTAAGAGATAGAGGAAGGGAGAGGGAGCGAGATAATGTAAGAGAACGTAGTAATTACAAGTATTACATCTTAATCACGTTAAAAATATCGTAATAATAAACAAATCGAAAGAAAGCAAATAGAATATGAATTACACATCATCCTAATGTTCTTAATCATCAAACCAACGAGTCGAAAGCTACTCCGCATCAAAAGTGGGCAAAATAAAAAGCCAATAAATATTAGTCGAACGACAGTTGTTTCATTAAAGAACAGACGATAATGAAATGCTTTATTAAAGCGACTCCATAGTCCACGAGATTTCCAATAATAAATATCACTCTAAAAAAAATATTTGAAAGAAAAACAGAAAAGTAAAAGCTATGGAGAGAAATGTCAGTATTTTATCAAATTTCACCCACACCCACGGATAAAAACGTAGTAATAATCTAAATAGTGAGCGAACAATCATCGAATGAAAAAATTAATTAAAAACAAAAACAAGCAAAACAAAACAAAGTACGGTTTGTTTGTATAATCCTTAATCCATTTGTCACGTGATTCCACTTTAACGATCTAATTATTAATCAGCTTAAACATGCGACTTTCTACGCAGAATGTAAATAGGTACGCGCATGCGCACATACAAACACACACACACTCTCTCTCTCTCTCTCTGTTTCTCTCTCTTTCTATGTCTCTTTCTCTGTCTCCCTCTGTCTGTCTGTCTCTCTTTCTCTATCTCTTTCTCTCTCTCTCTGTCTCTCTTTCTCTCTTTCTCTCCCTGCAACTGTCTCCCTCTGTCTGTCTGTCTCTCTTTCTCTATCTCTTTCTCTCTCTGTCTCTCTGTCTCTTTTTCTCTCTTTCTCTCCCTGCAACTGTCTCGCAAACATTAAATATTTTGTAGCCATTAACCATCAGACGAAAAATGATATTACGTGTGTGTAAAAGTTTCCAGTGCTCTTTGAAAAAAAACAAAAAAAAAACTACATATTTTTGTGTGTATTTAGGCAGCAATCTTTCTTTCATACATCTTTCATTGATAACAGCCGACAAGGATGATTTAATTTATCTGTTATTCCAGCAATCTAACATTTTTTTCCGTTTTTCAGGAGTTAAAGAATATAGGAATTGTCTATAGTTATTATTGTTCCGAGCGCTTTCGGCTATTCTCGAGCCATTATCAAGGATGTGTTTTGGATAGTGAAATTCTGTGTGTGGCTGCTACGGTCATATATATATATATATATATATCGGCTACGAAAAATTTCCCAATCAAACAACGTTCTACTTGCCTTTAAATCTGGCGGATCAAACGGAGGTTCCTTCTGCAAAGGAGAGTGCAGGTTCGAATCCTGTCGGAGAACACATTTGCTGTTCAGTGTTCAATCCATTGAGTGCTGGGGCATAAGAGCAGAAGAAAAAAGATAACCTCCTCCAAGATGATTTGTTGGTCGATGGCTCTCAAGAGTCTGATGTCTGACCAGCTCTTGCCGTCCCCGCTTGCATCAGCCTCCGATCAGTACCTTGCATGATGGTCTTGCAGAGGCTTTTTTCTGCCGTGTGACGTGGCCAAATCATGGCATATCTTCTGACACTTAATAGTAGCGAGTTGCTGAGTATGTTTTCTAAAACATTTTGTTCTCAAACGCCTGGATCCTTTTTCCTGCCTCAACCAGGAATCCTCAATTCTCGCACCCATAGACGAGAATGGATACGACAAGCGATTTGCAGAGCTTGAACTTGGTAGGGACGCTGATGTTGCACTTCCATATCCTTTCCAACCAGACCATCACCGCTGTGGCTGTGGCGTAACGTTGCAAGCGCCATCTTTTGATAGGGCTGCTCCCAAGTATTTGAAGCTGGAAACTTCCTCCAGCGGTTCGCCGTCCACGGTGACGCTGATACTGGTCTTGCCTGTGCTTTTCATCATTACTCCGGATTTCTTTGTGTTGTGTTCCATTTCATATGGTGTCTGATACAATTCAAATTAATAAGATGTTAAACTTAATAAAAGAAGATTAAGATTTATTTTATCTTCTAAATAAATTATTAGGACCTTGAATAAGTTCTCGCTGTTTTCCAACACAGCGTTACCAGATGTGCGTGCATGTAATCTCAGATGGTAACGCATCCATAAGGAAGTACTATAAGCAAGCTCGAAATTCAGTGTATGTAATTTCGCAGAAGTGTGAACAACTTTCCTTTTCATAGCATTAAATATGTCGGATTTCGTGTTAAAGCAGGTGTATTTCCGGAGAATTTTACTGCACTACTTTATTCAAAAGAAATCTGCAGCTAAAGCATATAGAATACTTGTTGAGACTTACGGCGATATTGTTCTCTTGGAAACAACATAGAGATTGGTTCAGACGCTTCAAAAATAATGATTTTGATGTTGAAGATAAAGGTGAAGAACGCCCTGGCTCACCGAAAAAGTTTGAAGACTGAGAATTGGACTCATGTTAGTCGCAAGCTGAACTTGCAGAATCATTAGGAGTTAATCACACAAAATGTTGGAATCGTTTGAAAACGTTAGGAATGATTCAAAAGCAAGGATATTGGGTACCGTACGAGTTGAAGCCGAGAGATGTCGAACGGCGTCTTGTCACGTGTGAACAGCTGCTTCAACGGCAGGAAAGGAAAGGTTTTTCCATCGTATAATGACCGGCGATGAAAAGTGGATAAACTACGATAAATCTAAGCGTAGAAGATCGTGCGGCATCAACATTAGCGGGAAAGGCGAATATCCATTTTTCGAAGCTTCTGCTCTGCATTTCGTGGGATCAGCTGAGTGAAGTGTATTATGAGCTGCTTAGACCGACCGAAACCATCACGGGAGATCGCTATCGACTACAATTGATACGTTTGAGCTGAGCATTAAAGAAAAAAACAACGGCTGTACGAGCAGAGACATGACAAAGTGATTTTGCAATATGACAACGCGAGGCCCCATGTTGTAAAACGGGTGAAAACCTACTTGGAAACGCTTAAATGGGAAGTCCTACCCCACTCGCTGTATTCACCAGACATTGCCCCGTCTGATTATCATTTGTTCCAATCGCTAGCACATGGCCTGGCCAAGCAGCACTTTCATTCTTATGAAGATGCAAAAAAAATGAGTAAGACTCTTGGTTAGCCTCAAGTGATGTGTCGTTTTTCTGATATGGAATTCAAATGCTGCCAGAAAGATGGGGAAAAGGAGTGGCTAGTGATGGAAAATACTTTCAGTGACATGTTTCTGACTATTTTTGGGAAATAAAACATTCATTTTCATGAAAAATCAGCGAAAAACCTATTCAAGGTCCTAATATAATTTTTAAGGTTAAGGAATGCGTATTTCCCAGCTTATAAAGATAGGCCAGTGGTTGTATAGTACCTACGTATTCTTTTGTGAGTATTTGGTATACAGAAGGAGAAAGGTCATAGTCAAACACTTTTCAGTGTTCACTAATATGAACACTAAAATAAATGATAATCTTTTTTTACTGATAGTTTACCCAATACAAGGCTCAAGAGCCACTCATGATAGAGAGTTATTGAGCAAGATCAAAAATGCAAAGGGAAGGAGAATGTAAGAGAGTATTCTACTCTTTTTTAATCATTTCACCCCAAGCAAGGCAATAAATCTACTATGACACAAATGGTTACTGAGCGTGGAAGAATAAGAAAAAAAGAAAAACATTATTAAGGATCGAGAACAATAAAAGAGGAGGAATCAAGAAGACAGTATCTAACGACTGACATTGCATTTAAATTTTTGAAGGTCAAATTTGACTGGAAAGCATGGAGCCGGAAGAAAGTTCCACAAGCGAGAAGTGCGAGAAAAGAAACTGCTAGCATAGAACTTACGGTTACATCTAGCCAGCTCAACTGTAAATTGATGAGATCTTGATGCCAATCTAGTACTGCACTTAAATTAATGAAGTCTAGGTACCATAGCGAAGAGCTCATACGAACAATTACCATGAAAGTCTTTATAGAAAAGGCCCAGGGAAGTTACATTACGGCGGTGGGAAATTAACTAAAACCGAGATGCCAGGTCAGAAGATTCATTAACATTTCACACTATGTCAAACAAAAGATTACGAAGGAAACGCTCATCAGTACTGGAAAGAACGATAACAGCTACATGACTTGAGAAACCTATGTTCCTGAAAGACTTTATAAATTTCAACCAACCGGTTCACTGGACGCACGGTCAATGAATGCTGAATGTTTCTTTATAAGGAAACGGTTAATATTACTGTTAGGGGTCCTTACCCATAATAACATAATGGACTATTCCATATGTAATAAATACTGCGCCTCAAGAGGAAGCGGGGAGTTCAGCCTGAAGTCTGGAGTGAGGTCCGTCAGTCAGAGCAGCGAGTTAGTCAGTCGAGTCAGAGTCGCGTTCAGACAATTACTACTAAATCTGATTATTCGTACTAACACTTTCTACTTCTCTGTATATATTCCTGTTTGTAATATATCTGTGTTATTCCATATCCGTGTTCGAGTTCTTCTTTATTGGTTCTACCTTGGACTATCACCGTGGTACAAGGAACCGGACCATAACAATTACTATTACCATTATCATTAATCTACACATATATGCCTAATATATGGGGTGGATGTTTTTTTGAAGAAATTTTCCAACCACCCCGAACTTATTATGAACACTCTGTTTATTATTTTCGCAATTTTTGACACTTTAAATGATTTTCCGCCCACCTACTTTTATTAAGACCCTCCATTAATTGCATACTGAAAATAAATTCTAACCTCCCCACCCCACATTATTACTCCCACCCCGTATTACGCATCTGTCTGTTATTGCTCTTTACAATATTGACAGTGGTTTCCTTCTTAACCCTTTGTTTCAAGTCATGTGAAATGCTAACATCTTGCGTATCTCGTTATTCTATCTTCGAGTTACACATGCTATCCATTTTAGTTGTTGCTGTTGGAACTTCCCAAAAGATGTGGTTTCTGTTATTTGGTACAGTTCTTTGTGATTCTGTAGCGCCAGTTTACAATGTTCAAAGAAGGATGGTCTTTGCCACGACCCACAGGCTCCATTCACTCAAAGTCATTTTTAACAATGAAAGCGGTTGTATACACGTGAGGCTTTAGCTATTTCTGAATGAGTTTATCATGAATCGAAAGAGACATGATTGCCCAATTGTGTATCACGTTTGGCACTTATCTGAATGAGATTCTTAAAT